GCCACGACGCCTGCGCATTGTGCCTCTTACGCCATCTTTCCGCGCCCGCGATGGGAGGTGCTCTTCCGTGATGTAATTTACTTTCGCCGATTAACCAAAGAGCTGTGAGAGATTGCTGGCTGGTGTTTAGCGACCGGGTTGAAACACAGCGCTGGCGCCTCGCGGTTCCGCAGAATCCAGGGCTCACACCCACTTTAGCCTTTACAGTATCATGGAAAATTTTAACATAGAAAAGTAGAGAAAAATGTGTAATCAACTCCCATGTATCCATCACCCCGCTTCAACAACATTTTGCCATTCTTGTTTTATTCCCCCGTCCTTATTTTTTTGTGGGAGTGTTTTAAAGTAAACCATTATATGATTCCAGCCTTAAATACTTCAGCCTATATACCACTGAATGGATACACCCCAGGAGATTGACCATAATTCTTTAATAACATCTAATAGCCAGTCTGCACGCGAATTTCCCCTAATGCCTTTTTGCAGTCTGTTTGTTACGTCGAGATCTACACGGGTTCACACATTGCATTTTGTTGATGTCACTCGTCAGGCTTTTTTTTTTTTTTTTTTTTTTTAGCATAACCCGCCTTTCCTCCTTGATTTTTCCCGTGCTACTCATTTCACGACCGTACTTCTCTCCGGGCCCGCCCCTCTCCACTCTGAGCCAATCACAGCCCAGCCGGAAGAGCCCCGGCATCGTCGCCCAGAAGCCTGGGCGGTGCTTAGCTCTGGGCCCGCCTCTTCCCCCTTTGAGCCAATCGGAGCACGGCCCACCCTTTTGTCCTCGGAGCCAATCCGGAGAGCCCTGCCAGTGGCATGGCTGCTCCTGGCTCCACGGATTCCGGGTGCACGGCCAATGTTGCCAGGTAGCTCGTGCAGTTTCTGGGTGCCCCTGCCGGTCACCGGGCTTTCCAGATCCGAGGTTCTAGTCTCCTGTTTGCCTGCAGGGCTTGGGCTCTGAAGAGGATGGGTAAGGACCCCCAGCGGGCAAGTATCGAGGGGCGGCAGGGCGGAGCGGCGCCGTCTAGTCCCTGCAGAGACTTGCAAGTTGTCGGGACCGGACGGCCGCCGCTGGGAGAAAGGAAGGACTGATTCCTGCTTTTGGCCTGGCTTTTACCTTTTGAGGGTTGCGGAGGTTGGGGGTGGGGGGAGTTTGCAAGGAAACTACATTTCCAACCCCGAATAAGAAGCAGGGAAAACAGCCTTCCCGTCTGTATTGGGATTTGTGGCTCTTGCCAGGGTTAAGTAGCACCTGTAAACCCTAAATTTCAGACTTCGACTTTTGAGATTGCTCCCAGGATCAACATTTGAGACCAGGTCCATGCTCCCTTCAAAAAGCTAGACGTGGGCGCGCGTTCAGTTAGACAGCCCTTTACAAGCAGCGGTGGGTCTTTAAATAAAAGTACGATCAGAAAGACGGGAATACTTTTGCTATTATTCTCAGCTTCTATCTCTCTCTCTGTTTTCTTCTCTTTTTTGAGTCGGGGGTCTCACTCTATCGCCCAGGCTGGAGTGCAGTGGCATGATCGAGACGATCACGGCTCACGGCAACCTCGACCTCCTGGGCTCAGGCCATCCTTCCACCTCAGCATCCCGAGTGGCTGGGACTACCGGCGCGTGCCACCATGCCCAGCTAATTTTTTGATTTTTTTTTTTTTGTGTGTGTATAGAGACTAGGTCTCCCTATGTTGCCTAGGCAGGTCTCGAACTCCTGGGCTCAAGCAATCCGCCTGCCTCGGTCTCCCAAAGTGCTGGGATTACAGGCGTGTGTCACCGTGCCCGGCCTTATTTTCAGCTTTTCTTGTGAAGCAAGTATAACAAAGCAAAATTAATTACTTACCTCGTCATTCCACATGAAGTGTTTTCACTTTTGTGTTCTTGTCTTTTGCTTCCATATCCTTGTATCCAAATGAAGGTGCAGTTTTATATTGTGTATTTTTGTTTTCTGTTTTTTGAGACAGGGTCTCTGTCTGTCACCCAGACTGGAGTAGAGTGATGCGATCATAACTCATTGTAGCCTTGAGTTTCTGGGCTCAAGCGATCCTCCTGCCTCAGCCTTCTGAGTAGCTGAGACTATAGGCATGTTGCCACGCCTGACTGCTTTTTAAAAATTATTTGTAGAGATGGGGTGTTACTGTCTTGCCCTGACTGATCTCCAACTCCTGGCCTCAAGTGATCCTTTTGCCTGGGTCTCCCAAAATGCTGAGATCACAGGCATGAGCCACCCTGCCCACCCTATTCTGTTCTTTTTCCTTTTTTTTTGAATTAGCATTATTATTATCATGTTATCACATAGTACATTATTATTATAGTTATTATTATTATTGTTTGAGTTGACATCCAACTGTATCACCCAGGCTGGAGTGTAGTGGCACGATCATGGCCACTGCAGCCTCGACCTGCTGGGCTTAGGCAATCCTTCCACCTCAGCCTTCCAAGTAGCTGAAACTACAGGTGTGTGCCACCATGCTCAGCTAATTTTTTGATTTATTGTAGAGACAAGGTCTCGCCATGTTGCCCAGGCTGGTCTCAAACCCCTGTACTCAGGCAATCCTCCTGCCTCTGTGTCCCAAAGTATTGGGATTACAGGTGTGAGCACCCCGGCCAGCATATTGATTTATATTTTTTTATAGATTCTTGAGCCAGGTTGTTGATATAATGTTGGTTTTATTTTTTTATTCTTAAAACAGGAATGAACATCTTTGTATATGTAACTTCAAACAAAATTTCATTTATGTGTCATTTTAAATTTAGATCCTTTGGCTGCATGGGACCTCTCCTCACCTTTAATATCATTATGGATAAATAGGTTTTACATTTATTTGGGCATTGCCTTTGGCATTAGCCTTTGGATTTGTGTCCAGATTGTCATGAAGAAGCAGGTAAGTGGAGTGCTTTTTTTTTAAAATAGAGTTTAAATAATAGAATTTTAAAAAAATAGTAGATATTTTGTATAGAATTTTGAGTGCAGATTTTCTAAGGTTTTCAGAAAAATAGAGAAAAATGAATGGAACTTTAAATCACTTTTATGTTTGGTCTCTAGACTTTTTTGAAGTGCCTAACAGATTTCTTCTCTCAGTTTTTAGAGACTAAGTTATTATGGAGTAAGTTATTTACTTTTTCTTTGATAACTGTGAATGTCTCATTCTTAAGATTCAGGAAGTTTTTTTGTGATGAAAATGGAAACTTATATGAAAATCATTTACTATGCACCTTTGAGGGGTAGTAGACCCTTCTTTTCTGTTAAGAATCAGAGAATAAGTTTCTATTGTTATTCCACTAAAGCACAGTTTAGATAAAGGTATGTATAGTTTACCCAGGAGGGAGTGGGAATATGATAATCTTGAGAAACGTGAGTCCTGCCTTTAAAGGACCTAATTAGGTGGAGGTGAGAGGATGCCTGAGCCCACTGGTTTGAGACCAGCCTGGGCAACATGGCAAGACCTTGTCTCTACAGTACATAAAAAAATTAGCTGGACATGGTGGCACACCCCTGTGGAAGGCTGAGGTGGAAGGATCACCTGCCCAGCAGGTCGAGGCTGCTGTGGCCGTGAGCATGCCACTGCACTCCAGCCTGGGCCACAGAGTGAGACTCCAACTCAAAAAAATAAAAAGAACCGAATCATACTGAGGGGTTAATATTTGAGAGCAACCAGAAAAATAAAGTGGGTCAGTATCTCTGCTAATTTTCATCTCTATCAAAGTTGGGAGTAGATGCAGACTTGATCGATTTTGTGCAATCATTTATCTTCAAGGACAGGAATTCACAGAAGAAATCGGTTCCAAAAGCAACCCAGCATCTGATGACAAATGGTTATATCGCCCTTCAAAAGAAGGAAATCTTTGTGTCTGGAGTGAAGATTTTCTATGGTTCCCAGACTGGCACAGCAAAGGTAAGAACTTTATGTGATGCTTTTCCTTTGATATCTTGACATTTTAAGAAAATCTCTGAACAGCATCTTTTAGTAGTGAACTGAATTGGTTTTCTAATCTTCTTTAATCTTTCCCATCATATGTTTTTCGCTTGATTTCATCTTCTGTGGCTTATTGCCACTAATTGGTGGTATCTGGTGGTCACTGGCTGGTGGTGATTGTTATGAAGGGTGTTCTGAATCTTGCTTCTACCTCTGCGGGATGGAGAGAACTCTGAATCCATTATTGTTGTCCGTGAATGTAGGGCTAGGGGATAGTGGAAAGAGAATGACAGCAGTAGTATCCAGTATGGGCCCTGACTTTCACAACTTCACACATCTAATTAGTGAAAACTTGATTTGATTTCTAATAGTATTAAAGATATGAAAGTAAATATACACAGTAGATATCTAGCTGAAAGATGCTTCCTGCTTTTTAATGGTATCTAGGTGCCACCTGATTTTTTTTATTACAAAGGTCACGGCTATTTAGTGCTTTCTAGGAAAAGCTTCTTAGTAAAGCTAGCGTGAAAATGAATTATATAAAAAAGTGGAGGTCCGTTATGTTTGTATAACTACTATAGAGGGTCTACTGCCCTCTTGTGGCTGTTGCACAGAATAATCTCTCTTAGGTTTTCAGTATTCCAGCGCAGGTACTTTGCTTCATTTTACAGTTAAACCTTCATTTTAAGTTAAACCTTAAGCAGTGGAAGCAGGAAACCTGAAAAAAGGCAAAAAGGTGTCTGAGCAGCCAAAACAAAGTTGCTTTTTTTGTTGTGGTTACTAATAAAAGACCTTATTCAGGGCCTCTTTATGTGTGCTTTAAATTTTTTTGAAGGATCAAATGAATACTTGCAGATGGTAACAAATCCAGGTGTACAGAAAGGTCATAATGAAAAGTATTCTCCAGAAAACCCTTCTTAACTGTTTCTATTTTTAGTTCCTCTGGTGGTTATTTCTTTAACTATATAACTTGCTTATGCTGTGTTTCTAGATTTACCAACATTATATAAAAGTTATCAACTCCCACTATTAGTTAGTTGATACAAACAATCCTCAAATCTCAGTGACTTAATATTGCTGCTCACATCATAGATGATTTGGGTTCGATAGCTGTCTTCTGTCTTAAAACTGTGCCACTGGATGTATCTTTATTCTGCTTTCACATTTGATTTATTCATATTTAGCTGTATATAAAAGACTACTAGACATTTTTTCCTTACAACTTTGAAGGCATCTCTCCATCGTCTTCCAGCAGGTAATATTGTTGATGAGAAGGCTAATTCCCTTATTTCTTCATAGAAGATTTGATTTTTTTTCTTTATGAAAGTTTTTAGGTTAATTCTTTTTACTTTGATGTTTGGAGAATTTGTGAGAAGGTGCCTAGGTTGGATCTTTTTCCAGCCATTGTTCTCAATACTTGGGCTCTTTTGTTTTGAAGGTTTGTGTGAATTCGGTCTGCAAATATTTCTTGAGTACATTTTTCCCTTCTATTTTCTCTTTCTTTCCGGGACTACTGTGAATTGGATGTTCGAGCTTTTGTATGGTCTTCTATGTCTCGAATCTTTTCTCTTACACTTTTTGTAACTTTCATTTTATACTGGGTTCATAGATAACCATTGGAAACCTCTTTTTGATTTCAGCTATTATGTTTTTAATTGAAAAAATGTCTTTTTATTTTTTGTTCAATTTTTATAGTATTTTGAATTTCTTTTTCTCTTCCAGATTTATTTGCTCTCTCAGTTGCGTGTGTGTGTGTGTGTGTGTGTGTGTGTGTGTGTGTGTGTGTTTTGAGACTGTTGCCTAACTTTGAGTGCAGTGGTGAAATTATAGCTCACTGCAGCCTCCAGCTCCTGGGCTCAAGTCATCCTTCCACCTCAGCTTCCTGAGAGGCTGTAGTTAGGGTTGCAAATGCGTGCTACCATGTCTGGTTAATTTTCTTATTTTTTTGTAGAGGTGAGGTCTCGCTATGTTGCCCAGGCTGGTCTTGAACTCCTGGGCTGAAGTGATCCTCCTGCCTCAGCCTCCCAAAGTGCTGGGATTCCAGGTTCGAGCCACCATGTGGGCCTTGCTTTCTTGGTTATTCTGCTGCTTTCCTGGTGCTTGTTCTTATCATGTTGGTGGTGAACCATCATTTTCTGTTCATAGTTAGGATAGGTGGTGTAACTGGTGTGAACATGCTTGTTTTTCTCTAATGGTAAATTCTCACTGAATGCTCTGTGCAGTGTGGGTTGGGTCATGCTGTGTTACGCTCTGATAGCCCATTTTTTTACTTTATTTTATAGTAAAACTCCTCCAGTGTATTGTCTGTGCTTACTGTCTCTATTGTCTCCACTCCTGTTTATCTTCAACTGCTCTAATTAGGCTTGCATGCCCATACATGTGCCAGTGAATTCTGTTGCTAATTAACTCTCAGTCTTTATCTTCCTTGACCTGTTAGCTGTATGACCAATCCTTTCTTATTCCCTTTCTTCATTTAACTTTCAGTGCATTGTTCTCTTGGTTCCTTTTCTGCTTTACTGAGGCTGTCCTTTCTTTCCTTTCATTTGCTGCTTTCTCTTCATCTTGACTTCTAAAGATAGGAACGTCTCAGGGCACAGTCCTTGGGACTGTTTCTTTTCTTTTTTTTGAGTTGATTTCTCACTCTGTCCCAGGCTGAAGGGCAGTAGCACAATCATGGCTTACTGTAGCCTCAACTGCTTGGGCTCAGGCGATCCTTTCTGCCTCAGCCTCCTGAGTAGCTGGGACTACAGGTATGTGCCACTAGCCTGGCTAATTTTTTGATTTTTTTGTAGTGAGATGAAGTCTCATTGTGTTGTCCAGCTGCTCTCAAACTCCTGGGCTCAAGCAATCCTCTCACCCTGGCCTCCCAAAGTGCTAGGATTATAAGTATCTGCTGCCATGCCTGGCAGAGATTTATTTATCTACACTCACTTTACTCCCTAAGGGATCTTTCCCTCACTTCCTCTAGTTTTGGCTTCCTTGAGGCCTGCTGCAGTGTTTTTTTGACTCCAAATACTTGTCCTTTTTCCATACCAATTCCGATACTATTAGAGGTTCTCATAAGACTTCACAGGGTTAAAGGCTCAGTCTGAAAGAAGTTCGGCACCAGTAACGACTCCACACCCAGTCTGAACCAAGAGATTTATTAAAGGGGCAGTTACAGGAAGGGACTGTAACCGAGGAAGAGCAAGAGAGAGAGAGAGAAAGAGAGAC